TTTTAATTTGTTTGCCTCAAACCAGTCCTTTGCTGCCCTAAACATCACTTCAGCTCTTTCTGAGGCAGTTCCTGGATTGTTACCAACAGAAATTAGGGTAGTGTCATCAGCAAACCTGAGTGCATTGCCACTTAGCTCAAGATCGTTTATGGCTATCAGAAAGAGGACAGGGCCCACAACCGATCCCTGAGGCACCCCGTGAGGAACATTGAGTGTATAATTTTATACACGAGATTCACTCGTAATTATTGCTCTTAGCTGTTTACGAATTTGAAGACTGTTTTAAATATATATTTGATTATCAATGTGCAAATTGAACACAACTCATAACAGTTATGCATTTATATCTAACGATAATATATACCACATACCTTGCAGACAATCTTAAACATGTAAATGGCGTTTATTCATACTTTCTGCATGTTAACTAATAGCTTGCGTTTATACTAATACTTGCGTTTATTAGAGCTCCACCACTCTCAGCCTACTAAATGAGAATTTTTCTAAATTTATATATAAAATTGTAACACTGTATATGTATTTTAGAGCTGTATCAGCTCCTGTCACTAGACACAACTTATTAAGCAGAAAAAAAACAGAAAAAAAACAAGGAACAAAACCGATCTATCTACCCCAACTGCTGGACATTAAACATTATACATGACAGAAGGTTTGGCAGAGCTTTTTTGTACTGAGTCAGCCTTTGCTACTTAAAATATGCACTTGTATCATACATAGTTTTGAAAAGTCTGTTTTCACAATAAACACAAGCCATTTTAGCAGCAGCGAGAAAACAAATAAGTTACCAATTTAAAAGCATGCGAGGGAGTAAAATGTGTTTTACAAGTGTAAAGGATTAGTTTAGTAATCTTTAGTAGGTCTGAGGACCATTGAATGTGTAGCAGTATTATTTATCATCCTGTTAGGGAAGGCCATTATTATTGTAATTTTACAGCCTGACACAAAGGGGTCGCTCAATTCAAACCCGGAATGGTTTCCTGGGATTTAACAAACAATATTTTAGTCTCATATTGTTTTGTCAAAAACTCCCCTTGTAGAATACAAGCCAGTAAACTGTAATCATTGTGGCCAGCAGACATTTTATAGATTTCCAATTTGTAGCCCTATTTTATGTATTACTTTAAAGATATATATTTAGTAGGAAACCTATCGACAGGGATGCAAACAATTTATTTGTAGAGATATTGCACAACAACAAAGATTTTTTATAAAGATTCGGTACGAGCTTATAGAGAGTGTTTCGGAACTCTCTCCCGAACTCCGTGGGCATGATCCTTAGGTCAAAACAAACAAAGGGTCTGGTATTCTTTCACTAAGTATTGGGGCCGAAATGGTAGACTTTGTAATAATCATCCTCTATACAAAATCGAAGTTCATTTTACGCAAAAACTACATGTGATTAAAGAAATATAAATTATAATGTTTTATAAATGGTAATACATAACATTTAAATTTTAAAAAATAAGTTCACTGTGTCATCTTGCTTGATTTCAGACTAAATATTAGAAGAAACATAATTAACAATAATGGAAACATTATGTTCTGTTCAACAAACAAAATTACATAAACCACAACAAAAAATCTAATACAACACACTTAAACATCGTCATTGTGTGTAAAATTACACAGTGGCCAATGTAAAACGAAAGTGGTGGTCTATAAATAAATATCATAAAACCCATCCACTCAAAGGGGAGCCTTTTGATGTAATAGTTAGTTGTCAAATACCGTCACTCTATTGCTTGTTTTGGTTACTTATCTTTGGCAGAAGGTGCATGTTTGAGATATTATATACAACATTAGGAATCAGAAATATACGATATGTAGTGATTGTATTCATACAGCAGCTGTCCTTTCGTTGAGTAAATAACTAGGTGGCGTTTGCAGAGGCATCCACAAAATTGAGCGGAGTCATCAGTGGTTCATACTATATTGTTTTTGTCATACTGCAGTAAAAACAGTAGTTTTTAATGCTTGCGTTGCGGGTCTAAAGTAGCATTTTTACTCTTTAGGGAGTAAAGATCGTTTTTTGCCTCTATGGAGTAAAAATCAGTTGTTGACAACTCAGTTGTAAATTTCTATTGTAAACGATTGCATGTATCGAAATGTGTATCGATTTGTGCTTTGTAATCATTTTAACCTACAGTCTACAAGTCTCTTCCCATAACATTTTAGCATTGCAGATACATTAATCCATTCCCACACTCAACACTGCTCACCTTTACTACTTCCTTCACCACCCCCTACGTCGTGGACCTGTTTCCCTCTCTTCCCATAGCATTTTAGGATTGCAGATACATTAATTTAATTGCCAAAGGCAGTTCCCACACTCTGCACTGCAAGCCTTACTACTTCCTTCACCATTTCCTACGCCATAGACCTGTTTCCTTCCCTTCTCGTAGCATTTAAGTATTAGAATTGACTATATATTGGTATATTGACTATATAATGGTATTAAATACATTTATCTAACTGCCCAAACGGTTCCCCCACTCTCCACTGCCAGCCTTTAAAACTTCCTTCACCACTTCCTACGTCGTAGGGCCTGTTTCCTTCTCTTCTCTTTGCATTTTAGGATTGAAGATACATTAATCTAACTGCCACAGACGGTTCTCACATTATGCTCATACTTTACTACTTCCTAAGCTACTTCCTACATCGTGGACCTGTTTTCATCTCTTTCCATAGCATTTTAGTATTTTAGATACGTTAATATAATTGCCACAAACATTGCCCACACTTCACACAGCTAGCCTTTACTACTTCTTTCACCATTTTCTATGTCGTGGGCATGCTTCCATCCCTTCTCATAGCATTTCAGCATTGCAGATAAGTTAATCTAACTGCTACAAAGGGTTCCCAGTTCCCACACTCCACACTGCTCACCTTACTACTTCCTTCACCTCTTCTTACGTCGCGGGCCTGTTTCTCTCTATTCCCATGGAATTTTAAGATTGTAGATACCTTAATCTAATCGTCATAAACAGTTCCCACACTCCGAAAAGCTCGCCTTGACTACTTCCTTCACCACTTCCTACGTCTCGGACCTGTTTCCCTCCCTACCCTTAGCATTATTGGATTGCAAATACCTTAATCTATTGGTTATAAACATATCCCACACTCTGAACAACATTTCCTTTACTACTTCCTTCGCAACTTCCTACGTCACCGACCTGATTCCCTCAATTTCCATAGCATTTTAGGATTGCATATACCTTAATCTAATCAGCATAAACAGTTCCCTCACTCCGGACAACTCACATTTACTGCTTCCTTCACCACCTCCTACGTCACGGACCTGTTTCCCTCCCTTTCCATAGCATTTTAGGATTGCAGATACCTTAATCTAATCGTCATAAACAGTTCCCAAACTCCGGACAACTCGCCTTCACTACTTCCTTCACCACTTCCTACGTCACGACCCGTTTCCCTCCCTTTCCATAACATTTTAGGATTACAGATACCTTAAACTAGTCGTCATAAACAGTTGCCACACTCCAAAAAACTCGCCTTTACTACTTCCTTCGTCACTTCCTACGTCACAGTCCTGTTTACATCCCTTCCCATAACATTTTAGGTTTGTAGATACCTTTATCTAATCGTCATAAACAGTTTCCACACTCCGGACAGCTCGCCTTGACTACTTTCTCCGCCACTTCATACGTCGCGGACCTGTTTTCCTCCCTTCCCATAGCATTTTAGGTTTGTAGATACCTTAATCTAATCGTCATAAACAGTTTCCACACTCCGGACAGCTTGCCTTGACTACTTCATTCATCACTTCCTACGTCGCGGACCTGTTTTCCACCCTTCCCATAGCATTTTAGGATTGCAAATACCTTAATCTAATCGCCTTAAACAGTTTACACACTCCGGACAGCTCGCCTTGACTACTTCATTCATCACTTCCTACGTCGCGGACCTGTTTTCCACCCTTCCCATAGCATTTTAGGATTTGCAAATACCTTTATCTAAGGGTCATAAACAGATTCCATATCCCGAACAGCTCGCCTTTACTACTTCCTTCACCACTTCCTACGTCGCGAACCTGTTTCCTTCCCTTCTAATAGCATTTTAGGATTGCAGATACCTTAATATAATCGTCATAAACAGTCCACACTCCCTATAGCTCGCCTTGACTATTTCCTTCACCAATTCCTACGTCGCGGACCCCTTTTCCTCCCTTCCAATAGAATTTTAGGAATGCCTTTAATATTACCTTTATCTAATCGTTATAAACAGTCCCCACACTCTGGACAGCTCGCCTTGACTACTTCCTTTACCACTTCCTACGTCGCGGACCAGTTTTCCTCCCTTCCTATAAAATTTTAGGAATGCAGATACCTAAATCTAATCGTCATAAACAGTTTCCACACTCCAGACTGCTCTCCTTTACTACTTCCTTCACCACTTCCTACGTTACGGACCTCAAGCTACCGTCGTCATTTGATTATATTTATGATCCATACCGTTTCTGTTCTAATATCTGTGGATTAATGCTATCAGCTATTTCTTTTCTACTGCATTCAAAAGTCAACAGCTGATCATATGTTTTTGTTTATGTGTCAAATACTGCTTCCATAAGGATTACATTGAAACTTTGAGACCCAGTGGGGCGCCTTCACTTGCTGTTAAAAAACATATGTTGCTTTATTGAAATGGCTATAATGACAAATTAAATAAACAAATGATGTAATAAAGATATAACCGGATTTTATTTACTCATTCTACGCGTGCACTGCACAGTGCATTGTACGTTATAGTAATAAAGTATTATTTAAAAATCTAAAGTGTATTATGAAGCCATGTTACAAATTTCTACAATTCGATCTATAAAAGGTTAAAAGTATTAATTAAGAATAGTAAACTATGAACTATGCTTAAGTACATCTGTGTCCACGTATCTAAATCGCTTCATTGTAAAACAGGGAAGGGTTTTTAAAATATACATGGGAAGGTAAAATGTACAGATAGTGTAATGCAATTCTGTATTTCGCTACTTGTACTTTACAGCAGATTGTCTTTTTAAGTATTTGTGCCGTCTTCCTCAGGAGTATTTGTGTCGTCTTCCTCAGGAGTATTTGTGTCGTCTTCCTCAGGAGTATTTGTGTCGTCTTCCTCAGGAGTATTTGTGTCGTCTTCCTCAGGAGTATTTGTGTCGTCTTCCTCAGGAGTATTCGTGCTGCTTTCCTCAGCCTTGGATTGTTCCATCACTTGGCATGAAACCGTGTATTTGGTAATGTCATCATATCCTCCAATTACTGAAATCACCTAAAAAGTAACAGATTCATTTATTATAAACCACTTAAACGTAGTTAAGTGTACTTTTGATAACCTGTGCAACGGAAATTCACTCCCCACAAAAAAAGGATAACGTTTCTGCCCTTTTGTCTATTTACTTCCTAGCTTTAAATTTTAAATTCAACATTGAATTATAGATTAAGTAGCATAAAATGAAATACTTATAAAAATGAAAGTATGGATGTGAGTACCCATAATATTTTTAGGTAAAGAGTTAGTTTAATCCCACTCAACAGCATTGTATTATTTGATAAATAATCAAAAGAGTTAGGCCATAGAACTGATCATCCTTCGTTTGTTCTCTTGAAGTAGACTGTTTTAGGACTAGTTCCTCTTCAGCCATTGTGTCTCGTTAGGGGTTATTTGTTAGAAAAGAGCATGCGTTTTTAGTGTCTTTCCGCGAACTCACAGGGGAGAATAGTAGTAATAGTGTTATCCTCACCCCACTATTTGGGTGACGATAATAATAGTGTGGATAGAGAGAGGTCAGGGGCTTGATATTTTAGTCTTTTAAGAACTCAAGCCATTTATAACACAGAAATTAAATTTTGAAGCAGAACTCTGTATCTTTTGTCTCATATTTTTGAACGACGTTATTTTCATAATATTTTCATTAAAAAAGAAAACAGAAAGTATAAGAAAGTAAGAAGAAGTTAGAAAGTATTTAATTTTAACTACGTAAAAATTCAATACTGTCAGACCTGGTTGGTACGCCAACCTAATGAATATCTAGCATCGGCCACTAGGCCAGGTTTAGGGAGTTTAGCTAGTAAACTAAAGCTCAAAGTTAATAATTAAAACAAAATGAGGCATAAATATTCAAGGCCGTCACAGAAGCCAACGGCCATCTTGGATTTTCCCGTCATAAGAGCTATGTTAATTTCATTATCTTCAATCGGCCGCTGAAGAGTTATCTACCATCTCAAAATATTTTGTTCAGATATCAATGTGATAGTAGTTTAAATATGTAGTGCATTGTTGTATTAGAAAACTGTCACTGTCTTTGTAGTTTTTAAATTGTTTTATAAGTTAGAACGTCAAGGCTCTGGGAATTCTTAAGCATAGCCTTAATATTGGTTATTTATCCATTTAAGTGGCCCCTTAAAAAATTTTTTTACAACGTTAAAAATGTATCATATTTATGGTTACTGCTTTGTCTTTTTACTTTGTAAATTTTTTGAATGATTCTTAAAGATCTATTTTACAAACATTTTTCAATTTTTTTTTATAAACAAAGAGCTGTAATCTGGGACAAAGGGAAGTCAGAAGTATTTTATTTTGCAATTGTTTTGTTTCACATCTGATGATGTTTGATTTGAATTGAAAGTTGTTACTCTCTAGCTTTGAGTCGGTGTAGGGTCCTTCTTCCACGGCTTTCTTGTTGTGTAGGTAGGGCTATGCAGGACTACAAACATAGCACACCCACGGTGTTAGACGTGGACTGTGAAGGTTACCTGTCTCAGATCCAAGTTTAACTTGTTTCCCAACTTCAATTTCAGTGTAATTATTCTCATCATGCCGTTTTAAGGTTGGTTGATCATCAAATGGGTAAATCTCGCGAAATAATGGGGTTTTATGAGTTTTTAAAGGTTATACCTAGATGGCAAGTTACTGGGGCTATGATTATACCAGCAGCGTTACAGCCTATTTATCATTATTTGTCAGATTATTGGGTATTTGTTTTTTTTTTATCACTGAAAATCCCACCCTGAGGCCAATTTTCTGTGACAATCTAGGTTAGGATTTTAGCTCTTGTAATTCAATTAATTGTAATTAGTATTAATTAGTATCGTATTGTATTGTATTAGTATTGTATTGTAATTAGTAGTAGTTATTTGTGTTACTAAGGCTTCCTGGCATTTTAAATACTCATCTTTTTAGAGTATAATTTAACTTCCTCATTAAAAAGTCCCCAGGGCTCAATTTAGTTAGTTTCAAGACTTCGGATTAGCTTCTAACCTAGGGCTGCTTTCACTCAGGAAATTTTCTAATAAGTGTACTAATAGGATTCTTAGCCTAAATATTTTGTCTTATTAAGTTTTTGAAGGCTTAACTTTAGTCACCCAGTTAGGCTTAGGCATTTGGGTGCTGTCAATATTATTTTTAAAGTGTCCATTGCTTTTGCTTTTCTGGAAACAGACTGTCAAGCCTAAACTCACACCCAAAGATTCCATTAATGCTAGGATGGCTGTTTTGGTGTTTAAATCCTGCATTTTGCCATCATTAAACTTTCCAACAAGTTTGATTCGATTATTAAATTTTTTTTGTAGAAATCAGCTTACCTTGTGTTGTAAATTTTCAGCAGGTAACATGGGTAAATTGCAAGCCACTTCTCAAACTCTTAGCTTTTGAGTCTCTGTAGGGATTATTTCAGTTCATGAACAAAGGATGCTTGAAAGTAACTACAAACCTCTATATGATCAAAATAATATTTTTTTTAGGTATTTTGGACCTTTTTCTGGGAATGCCACACTTGTACAACAGGGTTCCTGCGTGGACGCAATCATGAAGGTCCAGCTGAACGCCAACCGACCCAGCTGGTCCAGGGTTTAGTTTCTGGGTCGAGGAACGCAACTGCTTCTCTCCATTTCTGCTTGAGGGGAACATTGACTTCGGCGTGGCCACTGACCTTCACCGATGTGCCACTATTTATATATTTATTTTTATGTGTCTAATCTTGTGCTATTATTTATTTAACGAATCCATTTTTGTTAACTAGTCTTAAGTATTTACTGCTTTCACTTGATCTTGTAAGAACGTTTCAAATCGAGTTAAGTTCACCATAAGTTGTAGGGCTTATACAATATTGAGATTGGAACCTATTGGAACAGTTTTTAATCAATGGTTTAAATTTTTTCTGTTCCCTTGTCGCCTTTTCTTGCCCCTGCGGCTCTTACTGCAACCTTTCTGTAAAATTTTAAATCCAGCAATTAAAGTTATTTGACTAGTTTGAAGATGTTCATGTTGGTACTTTTTTGCCTCCTTTCCACTCAAAGACATTTTCGTTGGGTAGGGTGTTAGCTCTCCTACCCATTCCGCAGTGTTGGCACTCCGCAGTCGGGTGCGCTTCATGGGAAGCAGACTGGGCAGGCTAATGGGTAAGCAGTGGTAGTAACTATACAGTACAGTAATATTTTATGAGGGAACTTTTGAACCATAAGTTTCACAGCAATTGAGGTAGAACCATTTTTTTGTTTAGAACCATAAGGACTATAGCGTACAAAATTTTAATTAAAATTTGTTGTACTTATTTAGGTCTTTAGTTCTGTACATATACACACATACAGACGTCACTTCGAAAACCACTTATTGGGATTAGGGGGACCCGAAACAATCCACCCAAACTCAGACTCGAAAATTTTAAATAAAACAATAACTTCTTTATATAATATACATAAGGGGAGAAAGTAAAAGCTAACACTTAAAATACTAATTATAACCTATTACAGTGTTCAAAAGTGTCTAACATGTTTTCAAAACTCTAATCTGTAATTATTGTGAATATTAGTACAGTATAATTTATATTATTAGTAATTTTGTATTGACCTGAAAATGCAAAATGTATTAGCCTACTGTATTGTCAATTTGGCCCAATAAAAGATTTTATTGGTTTTCATTTGTACATTTTAGATTTAATGACTCGTTTTATACGAAATTTTTCATATCACAAATAAACATGACTAGTTTTTTTTTTTTTTTTTTTTTTTTTTTTTTTTTTTTTTTTTTTTACAATTACATTTGATTTTTTTGCGATTCTTTTGAGTTTAATGTCATGTAGGAGTTTCATTTAGTGGCAAAAATTCTCAAAATTTTACTTTGTAAATTTTTAATTTTGCCATTTTTAAGTTGGTAAAAATGTTTTTAGAAGCACTTACGACCGACCTTTTTTAGGTTTATACCAAAAATATACGGAAAGTAAATAAAAGAAACGTCTTATAACACTTAAAACATATATTTACGCTTATACTGTTACTCACAAGACGGTAAATATACAAAACAGATGGTAAGTGGTGATCGATTTCGATTGGACATTCCAATCATCAACCACAAAATGATTGGAGATGATCATTTGGTGATGATTGGAGTGTCCAATCGAAATCGATCACCACTTACCATCTGTTTTGTATATTTACCGTCTTGTGAGTAACAGTATAAGCGTAAATATATGTTTTAAGTGTTATAAGACGTTTCTTTTATTTACTTTCCGTAAATTTAATAACACGTACAATGCTGATCAAGAAGTTATTTACCAAAAATATCGCCAATAAGGCTTCTATTTGTTAATTAGTTTTTAACATTTACGAAATGGTGGACTAGGGTAAACTTAAGCCCAATAATAGAAAATACGTTACTATAGTTCGGCCGCTTCGATAGCGACCTGCGCGCTAATGCTAACCAATGCTAGAGGAGGTCGCTAAGCGGCCGAACTATAGACATTGTTGACTTATTTTGGTTAAAACTGTTTCCAGCATACTGTGCTACGCCTTTTTCACGATACCCTGAACAAGTGACAAAATATGACAAAACGATAGCAATATTAATGTAACAACGAAAATCAACTGTTTTGAAAAATCATGACCAAATACGAATGAACACAAAGTGTTCTTAAAAACAAGTTTTTATACGGTTTTGATTTTAAGTCAAAGTCGCCCAAACGTGTAATAGAAACAAAACCACATTGACTCTTTAATAAGGAAACCCTAAACAAAATATATACTTTCACAATATATTTAAAATGTGTACACTTACCTTTCCAGAACTTTCGTAGTACATTCGAGGGTAACCATGCGGCTTTTCTTCTATCGGACAGAGTTTATCAATGAATCCTCCACCGACGACATCCACATGAACTACGAGCAAGACGACCCAAATGTATATACTCCTCCACTTATCCCTCAACCAATTCTGGTAAACATAAATAACAATATATTTCTCAATACTACAATAAATATGAGGCCTGTATATTTTCCGTAAATAATTTTATCATGGATGTAACATAATTTGTAAAGTAAGTACTGATATTAGAATTAGAAAATATTTATAACATTTTGTCAGACGAGATGCCAAAGTGAAATGCAGTCCCCTTAATTTGACAGACCAACAATCAAAAAATGGGATGCTCTCAACGTCCCATTATTGGTTGGCATACGCCGGTGGATACGGTGGATACCCACCAACCACCACCACCATTTAACCAGAACCATCAGCCATTTAACCCATGAACCATGAACCATTTAATTGTCCTATCAGCAATGTGCTATAATTTATACAAAATAATGTGATATGATTTAAACTGTGTTTACAGCTTAGTTTTGTGTTACTAAGGAACTTTGATAATGTCACATAATTTAATGTCTGATGAAATTTGGTCGTTTATAACAATTGTTCGGTGTCTTCTCCTCCTATTGAGTTTGTAATCATCAACATCGCTTGGCTCAAAAAAAAGGAGTCCAACATTGCCTGTTAAAGTTTTAAACTATTTATGAATAATTAGCTCACCATTCGATCCTCTACAGCCCCTTCCAGTACATTCTTCTCGACATTTCGGATTAGTACAACTTTATCTTTGTCGATCTTGTGAAATAGCGTGTAAATAGCTTTGCCTTTGTAGGTTTTGTATCTTTCTTCGTATTCAGCCTAGAATCCCCCCAAAAATAATAGGTTTATAAAACTTGGTTCGACGTAGAACTTGATCTAGGTCTGAATTTCAAAATAGTGTAGCCTTTCTTTCATTGAAGTGGACTTCCCTAATTTACATTAACGTAAGATATTAATACCTTTCACCCTAAAACGTTGGCAATTTTTTTATAAACCATTTATTATGTTCTGTAATTTAATTTGATAGTTGTATCTTCGGTAAATGGATCATACATAGTGAGGAAGATTTGAAAAAATAAGACTAAAGATCATTTGTTTTAAATAATTGTATAAAGTTGGGTAATTCATCCTTGATAAACATCCATCGATTTTGGTTAAGTAGGTATGATAAAAAAATTATTAAACTTTGCCCCCTTGTAGCCCAAGCCTCTAAACGATTAGCCAGCAAAATATTTTGTCTCGTTATCATAGCTTACTAGTTGAGATAATAATTAGATACTTACTTTGTCAGTTATGAAGAATATTTGGAACTGTAAAAAAGGGTCAATCGTTATTAGAGACAAGCACGTTAAACAGATAGTTCAGCACTAAACTGAATAAAACAGCATTTGTTTGCGATTGTTTCTGTTTTTGTAGTTTTTCAATGTGATTTGGTTTAATCAATATATTATACTGAATGTGTTTGGTAAACAATGTAAACATTAAACTATGTTCCGCTATCGTAGTTCATGATACTCTTAGCACGAAGGATGCTAAGCAATGAAATCACAGCAATTGCCAAAGACGTGTGGATTTCATAATAAAGAGTTGAATGAATTGGTTTTGGAAAACATATTGAACGGATATTGCTTAAGATGTATATTTAAAATATACTTTTAATATTATTATTCCTTACGGATTGAATGAATAAACTGTTTAAATTAACTAAAAGACTGGGACGCACCACAGTATTTGTGGTTTAAATTGACTAAAATACTGAGAAGCACCCAATATTTTTGTTTTAAATTGACTAAAATACTGAAAAGCACCCAATATTTTTGTTTTAAATTGACTAAAATACTGAGAAGCACCCAGTATTTTTGTTTTAAATTGACTAAAATACTGAGAAGCACCCAATATTTTTGTTTTAAACTGACTAAAATACTGAGAAGCACCCAATATTGTTGTTTTAAATTGACTACAAGACTGTGGTGCACCAGAATTTGTGGTTCAAATTTATTGTAAGACTAAGACGCACCCAATATTTGTGGTTTTAATTGATACGAGACTGTAATGTACCCAGTATTTAGTGTCTACTTCGAACAAATGTTTCATGACCTCTTAACAAAGTTTGGGTTTTGGATGCATAAGCCCTTTGTTTAATAAATAAAAACCAAAAGTAAGCTATTAAAAATTATACTTTGATTTAAATTGAGCCAATTGGCAAGAGAGTAATTAATCAAGAAATAGGTAGTTAAACATTTTTTAGATTTGTTTCAATCTAACTTACGAAAGGTATGGCAGATCGAAGTGTCTATGATTTTGAATTAATTCATACCACATGCATCTCCATCTATTTAATAACACTTTTAGTAGTTCAGATGTGTTTATTAACCAAATTAGAGTAGGCCAGAAACTAGGCTCACCTTATCTTTCAAGTCAATCGATTCATCACTCCAATATAGTCCGTGTTTCCTCTTAAACTCATTTGAGAAACTATCTCTTTTGACAGTTAAGAAAATTCCATTATTAACATTGTTCCTTGCGAACTCCGCTGCAGCTCTAGCCTGAACAATGCATACAATATTTTTAGTTACATAAGTTCTAAATTTAGGCTTTTAGTTTTCAATATAAAACCGTAATTTTTTTGTGTGCAATGTATGAATATATTTTTTTTTTAATGACTCAAAAATCCGCATTGCACATTCGCTTAGTTATAACATTGACTATTGAATACTGAAGTTATATTAATAGTCAAAGGTTATATTTTGAGAACATTACTAACATTACAAACCGTGGCAATCTTTGAGGGCCTAAAAATGTACAATGGCTGACGAAAACACTTCAGAAAGATACCAAAAGGTACATCATCGGTGGGACATAGTTCGACGTTTGATAAATCTACCAATTTCCCTTCACTAGTTATGTGAGTTGTATTAGGAATTTTTAGGAAATGAATGCAGGATACAGGAAAGGGTTGTTGGCAATGTTTTAAGAAACATAACAGAATGTACCTGTAAAGAAGGGAATTTTAAAATTGAACGTTAATTAGAAATCTGACATACTATAAAAAGGTTCTAATTACAAGCAGGATAACTTACCTGGTATTCCTCAGCATTATATGGTTTCAAATAAACCGCAAGTACTTTGTCCTTGTAGTTTTCGTGCCTGTTTTCATACTCCTTCTAAAATAAAAAATGTAAATGTCACATTCACTGATTGTCAATCTTAACCATTTCGCAGACAATATTGCCGGTATTTTTATTACAATCGATTGAACATACTCCATTATTAGGCCACACATCCAGAATGTGTTGCTATCAGACAGTGTATTTAGATGTTAGACGTGGCTGATACTTTAAGCTAGAGTAGACGTTACATCACTTTTGTTTCGTTCTACCATAGGCAATATTTTATAAGTCTAAAATAATAATATATGTACGAAACTGCTACAATTTACAATAAAACACACCTATTGTTTATTCATATTATTTTAAGTTAAATACTGTACTCTTATATGTTTCTTTGAAATGGCGACCAACGACTTTTCTTTTAAGTATGTATATTAAGCCAACTATGAATGGAGATGAGTGTAGGATGATTGGCTTAATTTTATAGTCTTGTAAGTGACTAAGGCCGACATATTGCCTAGACACAGCTGTTAGATAATAGCCCATAACTAAGGGGCCTACAGTTTATAGTGCAATCCGAACCACATTTTTGCATTTCGATTAACGAATTGGTCTAGTTATCAGGATAGTACTGCGGATAGTGGTAGTATTCATAGTGCATGTATACAGTTAAGACATGTATTAAGATGTATACAGTTTGATGTAATGTTTTAATAGACGTTGAGGTGAAATAATGTTGTACATTTATATACCTTACATCATAGAGAGAGTAATGTTTCAACAAGATAACTGAAAGTTAACTAAAATAATGTAATATATTTTATGCCACACTACACTATTTTGACGAACTTCCCATCCAAGGATTTAGTCCAGAAACCAGCTGTTTGCCGCCAGCTTAATCAAAAGGGGTTTCATTGCGTACTACTGTACTGTAATGAGTTTTACCAAGGCCCCTCTCGAAAAACAGGCCATGACAGGATCCATGACATCACATTAGTGGATAGATTTCATTGATAAATTCATTGCCATCACCATTCCCATATGTTTTAGGTAAATAAACTAGCTAGCTGTTTGTAAGATTTTAATGGCGAGAGTTTAGTACAACTATCCACCACTGTGACGTAGTGTTGCGCTGCCCGTGCTGCAGCATGGCCTGTTATTTCTAGTGGGGCCTTGGTTTTACCTGACACCAATCAGCTGATTATACTGTATTTGGGTGGCAATGAGTGGTTATAACAAAAACATAACCTCTCGACTAGTGATTTTTAGTCCTTTAGTTAATATAAGGATTTGAACGGATTTAGTAGTATGGCGTAAACTATCGTACGTCACTCGTCCAAAATGTGTTTACCGGACTCGTATGGTAATCCCGTACTCGACAAACACTCGTCAAGTAAACACTTATTTTCAGGACTAGTAACGTAATATACTATTTACCTAAGCACCATATGATCTAACAGTCATATTCATGCCTGTTAAGAAAACATGTCCTTCTAGTTCATGCCTGTCTAGTTCATGTCCGGTGACACTGATCGCAGGTGTCGATGAAATTGTGTTTCTATTATTTTATGGTTGATTACATGATTTGTAGTTTACGGTTTGGTTATATAATTAGGGGATAAGTTGTTGTTTATGATTATATCATTTTATTTGGTTTAACGAGGTTTTAAATAACTGAAACAACAAAAAAACAAAAATCATAAACAAAAACACGACCATAGCAGCACAGGACGGAACTATCAATACAATACTATAGTCTTCAAGTGATACTTAATATACAAAGGGGGCATATTTAATCTACGGTGGCTATCTCTATCTAGCTACCTCTAGCCAAAAACCTCACATATTAAAGAATCTAACTTCTTACTCTTAAATTTAAATATAATTTAAATTACCTAATATTATTACAAAATAGTTGCCACATGGTTGTAAAAAATATTATATGTAATTTTTTCTATCAAATTTATTCAGACAATTATCCTGCAAATCTAACGATAAAATTTTTTTATCGGTTCATACATAAGAGAGAAAACTAATTTTTATGATACCGCACACAATTAAAACGGTTATTTGCTAAACTCGCAGTGAGCCAAATTGATATATTTTGATACACATTATTGTGAACAAATATTTTCAATAGGGTTGAGCACAAAACATAAAGAATATACTTTGATAACTGAAAGTGCCCATGCCTTTAAACAACCATTATACATTTCATACTCTTATAATCAAATTATAGTTAAAATGGTTTCCTATGTGGATTAATAACAATTATTGACCTTTCACTCAGAATCATGATTTTCTATACTCGTTTGTTTAACACTTTTTGCGCAAAATTTTACAATGTTATGACGGAGCTATCTCAAAATTCTAAGTAACCAAACCGTTATCTGATACTCACTTCCGTTTTCACTTCATCCCAATAAATCTGAAAATAAAAACAAAAAAAATTATAAGATCACAAACTTATCAGGTTTATCACCACAAACGGTTACACGATGTAAACAGTTGACTGGAACACCTATTCGTCCAAATCCTTGAGAATTATATATTTGTCAGTATAATGACTTTATTGGCCACAAAGATGAAATGTTGACCAAATTGCATTAAATTGTTCTGTTCACCATCAAAAGTCCACCTTTTTTTACTTAAGAGGACAATAGTACAAAATTATAGTAGTAGTAGTACTAAATTGGTAGTTGACCAATTTAGACAAATAGGTGGATAAAAGTGTTGGAAAAAAGTTTGGAAAATGTTGAAATCCAATAACAATGCAATGACTTTTCAACTTGAAATGGCATGAAAGACAAGCGATATCAATATAAAGTTAAGTAAACCGATATACAAAGTTTGGAAATGTCCTAAGAAACCAGGAAGTGTTTCGGTATAGTATATCTTGCTTGGATAATGAGCAAAGGTGAAAAATACACTTTTGGTCATATTTGTATGGCAACGAAACTATCATGACTCTGTTGCTCGACGAAAACAACAGTTTGTCAGTGAAAACGCAAATAGCTGCCAACAATGCAACAATATACTACGATTGATTACAGCAATCGACAACAAATCGCTTATTCACAAGCACTCGCACATCCAGGTGAATAAGTGAAGAAAACATTCAGCGGAGGTCCTATACTCTAGATGATTCACTTTTACCCAGTGGCCTAGTAATATAACTACTCTTTAGGCCCGCGACACACGTATTGAAAACATATGGTTATGCTGCAATATGGAAAAAATTAATTGTGTTATTGTTGTTCTGCAAAGGTTGTATGTTTTTTTTTTCAAAAATTATTATTTGTATTTAGATTATATTAGTAGAAAGTAGGTTTAGTAAACAAAGTACGAACAGGAAGAGGTGTGTAAACTACAGAATAAATTAACTTTACTCACAAACCAAGAAGGTTTTCCACTGGCTTTTCTCTGAAACAATAATTATAAAAATTAATTATGTTTAGTTTATTATATTTTTAAAGGGCATGTGACCATAATACAGTACCTGTACATTTTTAATTATATAAATTTACATACTATTATATACATTTGGGTTTAAAATAGGCTTAAACGATCCCGGGAATTTGTAAGCCGAGCGACGCCTCTTCTCTTGATACATTTCCTGAGTTAATATTATTATTTTTTTTTTACCAGTCTAGTCCCTATCATAAAGATGGCTTGGTTTTAATATAAAAAGAAATTAGTGTCTGTAAAAAAACCTAAATATATCTAAATCAGGGGAAAACTTCTTTTAATGGGTGTTTAATTCAACGAATTTCACAACAATCAACCTTAAATATGAAGCAAGAGTACTGTAGTTCAAAACAACTGTTAGGGGTTACACACACGTTTTACTGTATACTGTGTAGGGTTATGTATTTGCAAAGGAGATTCAGACAGTGTATAAATTGTGCCTGGTAGAAAGTAGGCCAAGTTAGTAAACTATGATTATAATTTGTTTTGACGAAAGAATGTAACGATTATACTCACCTTCAAATAAGCTTGAAATCCTGTTGTCTGAAAAAAGATTTTGAAACATATTTATAATACATTTTTTGTAAGAATGCAACATGTATCTATCATATTGGTAAAGCAACTATACACTATACTAAACTATACACTAAATGAAATGGGCGCTAAAATATGGCATTTTCCCTCAAACTGTCGGGGAGCGAACATTAGTGCAAACTTAAGTAGGTACCTGTCGTAGCTTTTCACCCAGATTTCATTGAAGTTTTGTAATCATAATTTAGGTATACAGTAGTAATGTAACAATAGTGATAATTCATGCAAAAAAGAACATTTTTACATCGCAACAGTTGTTTGTAGTACCCAGGAGTTATTTTTGAAAACCATGCTGGGAAGTTAAAATATGCAATTTCTAATAGTACAATTAATTGATCTGACAATTGATTTTTGAAAAATAAGGATTAATGAATTATAAAATACGCAATTTGTAATGTGACATATTTTATAGAAATTAAAATGACAATTGGGTCCAATATGATATCATAATATGTATTATATCATTCCGGAACCCTTAGGACTCACCCGACCTATGCCCGGACACAGTCGGCCAGTGTTGATCCGGTAGCCTTAGGACTCATCTGACCTATGCCCGGACACGGTCGGCCAGTGTTGATCCGGTAGCCTTAGGACTCACCCGACCTATGCCCGGACACAGTCGGCCAGTGTTGATCCGGTAGCCTTAGAACTCACCCGACCTATGCCCGGACACAGTCGGCCAGTGTTGATCCGGTAGCCTTAGGACTCACCCGACCTATGCCCGGACACAGTCGGCCAGTGTTGATCCGGTAGCCTTAGAACTCACCCGACCTATGCCCGGACACAGTCGGCCAGTGTTGATCCGGTAGCCTTAGGACTCACCCGACCTATGCCCGGACACAGTCGGCCAGTGTTGATCCGGTAGCCTTAGAACTCACCCGACCTATGCCCGGACACAGTCGGCCAGTGTTGATCCGGTAGCCTTAGGACTCACCCGACCTATGCCCGGACACAGTCGGCCAGTGTTGATCCGGTAGCCTTAGGACTCATCTGACCTATGCCCGGACACAGTCGGCCAGTGTTGATCCGGTAGCCTTAGGATTCATGTGAACTATGCCCGGACACAGTCGGCCAGTGTTGATCCGGTAGCCTTAGGATTCATGTGAACTATGCCCGGACACAGTCGGCCAGTGTTGATCCGGTAGCCTTAGGACTCACCCGACCTATGCCCGGACACAGTCGGCCAGTGTTGATCCGGTAGCCTTAGGATTCATGTGAACTATGCCCGGACACAGTCGGCCAGTGTTGATCCGGTAGCCTTAGGATTCATGTGAACTATGCCCGGACACAGTTAGTTGGCCAGTGTTGTTCCGGTAGCTAATGCTATTGCTTCGTTTAGCAAGCATTGTTCATTCGTAATGTTAACACTTCTCAGTACCTATATTCTATTCCAAGACCCTGCAAAAGTAGTATGATATTCTCTTGAGCAGTTATTTAGAATACATTGACCTTCAAACGAGTTTAATTTAGAATATAATAAAATATAAAATTAATAAATATATAATTTTATTAGGTAATTACACATTTTTAAACTTAGTTTATCAAACTTCAACTTACGCCTTCTGTTGGAAATGTAATTTCAAACAACTGAAACTAATAAAGCATAATTAGTGATGAGATAGTGCTTAATTTTATATCTTAAACAAAAATAAAAAATGAGGTTAGTAGATAACATTAAGAAAGTTTAACAATGAAATTTTATAACTAAAATAAAAAACGTGTTTAACAAACTATTATGGATACTGATCACAAGCTCAGATCAGAACAAATCTGTCAGATAAAAATCAGTTATCACATAGGCTATGTGTTTATATATATATATTTTTAGATAATCTAACACATTTTCCAATAAGTCAAAGAAATAATATGTTAAGAAAAGTAACTCATATACTACTAAGTATTTATTACCTTACAATTTAAGAAATGCCAGAAGCATTTTTCTTGCAAAAAAGAAAAAGAATACAAGACGGGATTGTTAAATCATTTTAATAGTTATTGTCCATGAAGTTGTTCAATATATCACAATTATTAAAAGACTTCACAACATTATAGGGGGTTAGTTGACTAGGTTAAGTGTTTCTTTATACCATAACAACAGGTTGTCGGGTCGATCTCGGGAGAATTCAGTAGCTTATAGATATATACTGTATTATCAATAAATTGAGAAGGGGACGCCACCTAGGTGCGTATTTTAACCCAAATATGAGTTGAATTGGAGTGTGGATAGAGGTGAGATGATCTTTGTAGCTTTTTTACTGACTAAGATAAGTTGTTTCTGTAGCCAGGATCGTTAAAAAAAGCAAAGATTATGGACAGCTAGGTCCAGATTTGAATTTACTGACTTTTCTTAAAATCGACCCTATGACCTTTTCATTGCCAGGCAATCACTCAAACCATTCAACTTCCCAGCCAGTTAGGTATCAAGTAGACCCTGCTGTCCTAAGATCATTATTCTTTTAATACGTGTATTTGGCTGAAAAGAAGATGATTAGTAGCAAAACGATCTTCTATGAATCAAGGTTTTAAAATATCTTGATGAATCAGATTCATTAAAACCTAATCGTGTTGGTGCTAAAGCATGTAGCCTTTAAGACTAAAGCAAAAAACATCGTCACCAAAGTAGCAAAGACAATGGGGGTGGCCCCTGAAGGGTCCAGTCCAACTCCACGCGGTGGTCACTTTTAGTGCCTAGTACAACTCCCAAAAGTAATGTTACACTTTTATTTGTTCATATTTAATTTATTCATGCGCCAGGATAGGTCAGGTAAGCTTAAGTTAATGATTATGGTTATAGCTTTGGAACATAATTAACACCACGCGGAGTTAAACATGTGAGGTGAGGGACCCGAAGTGTCCACCGAGCGGAGCTGGACAGTCGGGTTTGACAGATTGCTGACCGTTGCGGAGTTGGGATAAGCCCAAGAGATATGTAAAAATGGATTAGTTGTGAGATTAAATCTCTATATAGGAATTTAGGGACACCGAAACTGCCACGTCTTATGATCATAATCCCTACTGAAACTGTTACAGCAATCAGGAAGGATATACGGTTATTTTCGAGTGGGGTATCGGCTCGGCCAGGTAAGATAAGAGACTTATAATTCCCATTTCTGTCTTACCACTTTTCGTTAACATCTTAACAATACTTAAAATAAGTACGATGATTGGAAAAAAAGTGTTTGATTTGCACTTTCGTATTTATATTAAGGGAGCTATTTTTAATGTTATTTAAAGTTTTGGGTGAAACAACTGTTAGGGCTCTGAATAAACCGCACATTACTTCAACTTGTTTTGCCTATTCTCGTGTGAATATATTTAATATTATTTTAGTATTGCTTTTAAATGGTATGTTTTGATAGTAATACATACTAATTAACATATAAAAGTGTACTTCAACGACACGCACCTTTTACTAAAACATATTAAAATAAGGAACAAACTTTGCGTACAAAAGTGAAGATTTTTCAATAGAAAGTAATAGAATAGTTAATAATTATTTAGCACTACGTAAGCAAAAAGTGGTGTATTTATTCACCTAATTCAAACATTATATAGGAACGTACTTTATTATTAGTCATCACTCCTACAGCTCAACACCGACTGAGCCCACCCGGGCGTGAGTCTACGCGACAAAAGAGTGTCGCTGTCGCGTGACCGATCGGTCATCCGCGAGATATGAGGCGACTGTCGCGGTGCACAAAACCGGCCTTACTGATACTACACTTTAATTACAAAAATACCTCAGGTACATACAACAGCTGGTTATAAACGATGAACGTCGCGAGCAACACACGTGATCGCGGCGTGTTCCGTGATAATTTCCCACGATCGCAGCCACATCGATCATATCTATCGATCATATATTGGCAAGACTACAAGAATGAAGTGCCACAAGATAAGAGATATTTATGTGTAGTTTATTCTCATTAGTTACAGTATGGATTAGCCGAATCTTTAAAGAAACACGGTATAGACTTAGCTTTTAGGACAAATAATACAAGAAACAAACAAATGTTACAAGAATGGTTATCTGTAAGGGTGGCAGGTAAGTAGTATAAAAAATCTAATCTGACTATTTTCCTAGTGTTCGTGTGGGGAAAACGTCGCGTTGCACGTTCAAAATAAGATATAACGCCTGATAGATGAAAATCATGACCTTAATAACCCTAACACTGGTTTGGAAATCCTTCATACCTGAACAAAAGGCAATATCTGTAAATTAGCCACCCTGAAAGAATTTTGAAATTTACAAAAACCATATAAAAATTGCAGTAACGACTTATTTCAAACGACAAACTACATTTCAAATCACACGTAATGTTCAATAGTATTTTAAATCAGAGGATTGATCCCAGACCAAGGGGGCAAAGTACAGGTGATAACGATCCCGACGACACGACAACGCAAGGATGACTCCAAGCTACTGGCTCGAGTGAGGAAATGTGCGTTCAACAGGTCTGTTTATTTAAAAACCCCTATTTTAGTATGTGTATGTCACGTGTGACATTTTATGTTTTTGTGTGTCAACGACGCCATGACTGAACGTCTAATTATGGCACAGTGATGCTATAAAGGCCGTAACATTTGTTAACACTGCAGGAGCAGATTGAAGAATACTTTATTGATTTAGCCACAGGATCAGCTCAGGGGCTGTGGATTTTCAGGCACAACTCCCCCATCAGGACAACAAATGTAAGACTGAAGAAGTAAAAACTCTGATATTACATAGATTTAGGTTCTTCGCTTACGAATCATTTAGCGATAATTAAAAAACACACTCTTGCATTTACTATGAAGTTACTGCTACTTGTGTTGTTTATAACTAATGAATAATTAACACATATAAAAACTTTTAAGCATAACTTAATATTAGATTACTTACATTTGGATCTGGGTCCCATCGCAGATATGACTGGAAAAATAATTGTTTTAGGTTACAAAATTAATTAAACTGGATCTGTAAAAAACTAAATTTTTCTATCTTATTTGTTATGCAATTAAGCTTATCCTATATATAATACGAGTAAAGTTTGAATACTTGTTACTTCGATCTGGGAATCGGCTCTAACAAAAACGTTTTTATTTACGGAATAACTAAGTTCTGGGTCAAAAATTAGTTCTAGACCAGTGGTATAGCCAGAAAAATCTATTTTCGCCATAATATGAGTACATACTTTTGAAAATTTAGCATGGACCTTATGAGAAAACATTCCGCCATTATTGTCATTTGTTTACGTTTTAAGACATTACTCGACGTTCTGTACCCACGGGCACCTCAGCTTGCGCATGCACAGAAAGCTCTTGAAGCACTTTCCGAGGTAACTGTTGTACTTCTGATGTGTATTAGCTTCTGACATACAATTTTGTCAACTTGAGACAGAGAGAAAGAGGACGACTCGACTTTTCTCCAGTTCATTAAATCGTTTGATGTATAAGAATTTGTATTACTTTATAAAACTTTCCAGAGTGATGAGTTTCTAATCCATTAAAAAACTATTCTTACATTATCCTCAGCTATTATATTATTATTCTTATTACTGGTTATTTAATACTTTTGCCAATATAAACGAGCGATATATTTTATTTTTTATTATTTTTGATGCCTTTAATAATAATTATCATCACTAAATTACTCTTTTCGTTGGTTATCGAGTCGTGTCGTTGTCAATAATGTCGTCTGATTCTGACTGATGTCAGATGTTACACTGAATCGGTCACAGGGATAATAATTAATTGTAACCTACAACTAGCTGACCTAACTAAGTTTGAGTGTTGCTATTAGCAGTGTGGGATGATTGCACTGGACAGTTTAGCTATCTTTTTCAGAAAAATAAAGTTTAAAATAAATTAAACCCTAGGATTTGTTCTTAAGTTTTGGCCGTTTTGAGATGGTTGCTTTCAGGACTTAGTTAAGCCTAGCCTGAACAACTGGGTTGGTAGCTTGACTTTGTGGTTCATCCATGTTTAGTTTATTAACACTAATCAATGCCTAATCTAGATTATACGTGCCTTATTCTACTCCGTTTTAAAACTAATATACATATGCATAAGCTTTCATTTTTGTATTCAATACTGGGTACATCATTAAGGTAACTCGGTTAGGTTGCTTTTTATAAATGAATAATTTCATGAATCACTAATACCCTATATCATATAGGTGTGTTCAGTTATAGGTTTAATAATGACACTCTCTCAAAAAAGTACTAATACTAACCCAAATAAAATATATTTAGGTAGCTTTAGGCCTACAAAGGATGAGTGTTTATATTTATATCACTCATGTTTTTATCTCTGTGGTTATGTTTTAGTTATGTTTGCCTTAAGATGGCTATAAGTTTAGGACTAGATATCAAATAAACTCCCAATTAACTCATAGGACAGCCTAGTCCTTAATTTGTCAGTGTCAATAAAATAGTGCAATTGTATCGAGGACAACCAAACTTGTATATACAACCATGTTTATACCTAAGTTTCCTTTTTGGTAACTACCAACAAGGATCAACCGTATTGTTTTCAGTTAGAAAGTGTCCTGAGTTTCCGGAAAATTGTAACTTATTACATTTTAAAAATTAAGAGTAAATTAAAGGTTTCGGTTTTGGTTTCGGAGCGAGTCCAAGTTCTTGCAGTGACGAAGATTTTCTTACTGCTGATAGCCTTTTTTGAATTCTGCGTGAAAAATACTGAGTAATTTCTATCGTTTGGGCCATTTAGGGGAACCAAATTTTTTTTTAAAAACACTTTTATCTCTTCAGTAAACTATGATATTATTATTTTATAGAGAAGTTAAATAGATGTCAAAAAAATATCGCAAATTATTATTTTTGGGATAGAATTACATTGAGTAAAGAATGATCTCAGAGTATAGTGTAGTGATAAAGTTTCCCGAGCAAAGCTCGGCCTCCAGGTACTCTATATAAAATGAGTAAAGTTTGCAATCTAGTTATTTCAATTTCGGAATCGGCAGGAAGACACACTACTATACCTAGGGTATGAAAACTAAGTTCTGCGTCGAAAATATGTTCTGGGCCTAAGTGATAAGTTAAACATTTGTTAGTTTAATACTAAACTGAAAAAACAGCAGGTATTTGCAATTGATTCTGTTCATAAGTTTTTTCAAGGTGATTTTGGTTTATTCAATATACTGTATTATACTAATTGTTTTTTGTAATACATATAAAAGTTAAACTATGATCAATAATCGTAGTTTATGGTACTCATAACAAGCTAAACTATGAAAACTATTTTTTTCCTTAAAATCGTATTGATTAAATAGAGATTAAATTGATTTTGGAAAAATTTTGAATGAATATTTATTTAAGTTTATGTTTTTAACTAGACTTTGAACTTTACTTACATATATTACATATTAAGAAAATTGAGTTGCAAAAATCTTACTAGTCTGAAGTCTTAACACATATTTCTGTTCTTCATACAGGGAAGGCAGATCTTATGCACGGCTGCAATTTTTTACTGATTTCCAGGGATATGACTAAGAATAAAAAATATAATTTGGTTCTATGCTAAAAACTAACAAGAAGTATCACGAAACCCTATATATGGTTGAAATTTACTTCAAGACTGGAGCCCATCCCAGTTTTTGTGGTTTAATTGACTACAAGAGTGGAACTCACCCAGTATGTGTGGTTTAATTGACTACAAGTGTGGAACTCACCCAGTATGTGTGGTTTAATTGACTACAAGAGTGGAACTCACCCAGTATGTGTGGTTTAATTGACTACAAGAGTGGAACTCGGCCAGTTTTTGTGGTTTAATTTACTACAAGAGTGGAACACACCCAGTATTTGTGGTTTAATTTACTACAAAAGTGGAACTCACCCAGTATGTGTGGTTCAATTGACTACAAGAGTGGAACTCACCCAGTATGTGTGGTTTAATTGACTACAAGAGTGGAACTCACCCAGTATTTGTGGTTTAATTTACTACAAGAGTGGAACACACCCAGTATGTGTGGTTTAATTGACTACAAGAGTGGAACTCACCCAGTTTTTGTGGTTTAATTGACTACAAGAGTGGAACTCACCCAGTATTTGTGGTTTAATTTACTACAAGAGTGGAACACACCCAGTATGTGTGGTTTAATTGACTACAAGAGTGGAACTCACCCAGTATTTGTGGTTTAATTTACTACAAGAGTGGAACACACCCAGTATGTGTGGTTTAATTGACTACAAGAGTGGAACACATCCAGTATGTATTGGTTTAATTGACTACAAGAGTGGAACACACCCAGTATGTGTGGTTTAATTGAATACAAGAGTGGAACACACCCAATTTGTGTGGTTTAATTGACTAAAAGAGTGGAACACCCAGTATGTGAGGTTTAATTGACTACAAGAGTGGAACACACCCAGTATGTGTGGTTTAATTGACTACAAGAGTGGAACACATCCAGTATGTATTGGTTTAATTGACTACAAGAGTGGAACACACCCAGTATGTGTGGTTTAATTGAATACAAGAGTGGAACACACCCAGTATGTGTGGCTTAATTGACTACAAGAGTGGAACACACCCAATTTGTGTGGTTTAATTGACTAAAAGAGTGGAACACCCAGTATGTGAGGTTTAATTGACTACAAGAGTGGAACACACCCAGTATGTGTGGCTTAATTGACTACAAGAGTGGAACACACCCAATATGTGTGGTTTAATTGACTACAAGAGTGGAACACACCCAGTATGTGTGGTTTAATTGAATACAAGAGTGGAACACACCCAATTTGTGTGGTTTAATTGACTAAAAGAGTGGAACACCCAGTATGTGAGGTTTAATTGACTACAAGAGTGGAACACACCCAGTATGTGTGGTTTAATTGACTACAAGAGTGGAACACATCCAGTATGTATTGGTTTAATTGACTACAAGAGTGGAACACACCCAGTATGTGTGGTTTAATTGAATACAAGAGTGGAACACACCCAGTATGTGTGGCTTAATTGACTACAAGAGTGGAACACACCCAATTTGTGTGGTTTAATTGACTAAAAGAGTGGAACACCCAGTATGTGAGGTTTAATTGACTACAAGAGTGGAACACACCCAGTATGTGTGGCTTAATTGACTACAAGAGTTGAACACACCCAATATGTGTGGTTTAATCGACTAAAAGAGTGGAAAACCCAGTATGTGAGGTTTAATTGACTACAAGAGTGGAACACACCCAGTATTTGTGGTTTAATTGACTACAAGAGTGGAAAACACCCAGTATTTTGTATGTATTTCAAACCAATGATGCTTCTTGGTCTCTATGCCGAGCATAGGTTTAGGATGCATAATTAATATGCTTAGTGATAAAAGCTAGAATCAAGCTATTAAAGGCTTTGCTTAAATTGAAAAATTTACCCAATTGGCAAGAAAGGAATTTATCTTAAGCAGCTCTTAAAAGAATAATTAAGGTTTCAATATAGCTTGTGAAATAATGGCAGATTGATGTGCTTGAGACTTTGAATCACTACCTATCATCATCGATTAAAGAGTACATCTGTATTATAAATAGATTGTCTACACTTTAATCCATGGTAACATATGCATTTTAATATATTTTCTAACGCTTAAAGTATTTCAGATGTATATATTATCAGCACACCAGTTACAGTAGACCCTAAACCAGGCTTACCTCATCTTTCGATTCAATTCTAAAACCAATCCAATTTAGTTTGTATTTCTGTACTAACTCTATCGAGATACCATCTTTAGCGACAGTTAAGAAAACCCCATTTTTTATGTTCTTCTTTGCAAACTCCGCCGCAGCATTAGTCTGAAAATTTTCAACATATTTTTAGTTATATGAGTACTGAATTATGCTTTTACTTTTCATCATTAAAACTATAATTTTTATTTAGTGTGCAATGTATAAATATATTCGCTTTTCTAAATGAGACAAAATTCAGATTGCCATTTTGAGAATCCACACTCGAGTAATGCTATTTTGAGACCATTACCAGGAATACAAACTGTAGCAATAGGCCTATTTGATGGTCTCGATATGTACAATGGATGACGAAGGAATTTCAGAAAGATACTAAGACGTACATCATTGGTGTGTCATAGTTCAACGTTTGACCAATCTATCAATATCCCTTTACCAGTTAAGTTAATTCTATTAGGGATTTTTATACAATAAATGCAGGATACTAAAAAAGGTTGAAACCAATACTTTATGTAAGTACTTTAGGTAGTGTATATACCTATATAGAAAATGCTTTTAAAATGCAACATCAGTCAAAAGTTACATGATTACATACAAGGAGATAACTTACCTTGTATTTTTCAATTTCCGTTTGTTTCACGTGAATAGCAAGTACTTTGTCCTTGTAGATTGCATGCCTTGATTCATACTCCTCCTAAAAAAACAAGGGTAAATGTCACATTCACAAAATAAATTTTATCAATTCTTGGACAGTACTGCCGGTCTGTTTATCATAATCGATTAAACATCGTATTACGCCATTATTAGGTCACAGATCCAATGTTTTTCTCAATCAAAAAATTATTTATGAAAATGGGTTTTTTAAAGGGAGAAAACTAATGTTTCACATCAATATTTGCGCTCATGGGTTAACAAACAATTAAAACGGCTGATTGTTTTAGCTAACTAACCTGTATTACCCAATGACCTTTGAACACAGTACTGTGGCTAAAATATTTTTTTATAGGGTAGAGCACAAAAGTATACTTTGATTACATAAAGTATCCATGCTCATGATTTTAAGTAGCCATTATTAATGATATACTATAGGAATTAAATTATAGTTCTGGTGCTTTCCAAGGTGAATTAATAATTAATTCTTAATATCTTTCTTTTTTTAAGAATTGATCAAATTAATATCTTTCGCTCAGAATCATGATTTTCTAAACTCATTTGGTTACAAGTTTTTTGGCGCAAACTTTTACAATCTTATGCCAGAGCTATCTCTAAAGTTTTACCCGTAAATATTTTGAGCATTAAATCCAAAATTAAAATGCTTAGGCCTATTATAAATTGTATAAAAAAATATCACACATATGAAATAATGATTTATTCCACCATAATTACATAAAATACAAATCAAATAAAAACTCGGAATTACGTTGCCACAGAAAACAGTTAATGATATCCATTATCTATCTCAAAAGCTTAAGTAACCGCATGGTTATCAATACTTACGTCCGATTTCAAAACATCCGTTTCAATCTGAAATAAAAAAAATCACAAAATAACGTCTACCAACTTATCAAAGCTTATCACCACAAATAGCTTAAGAAATGTTCTAGAAATCATCATACTATGCTTCATGAATCACCGCAAGTAACGCTGCCTTCTTCTGCACCGCTATTGACTCCAACTACTGTCAAGCAATCTACCTTACCTGAGAGTTCTACATCAGCTCACACAGCCTCACACAGTCACCGCACCACCACTCTTCTTGGCACCGCTGCTATCCAGATAAGAGATTCTGCAGGAAACTACCACACAATACGAACTCTAAGCTACACAATGTTAACAGTTGATGCCAACTGGCACACCTATTCGCCCAAATCCTAAAAAATTGGATCTTTGTAGTATTGTTCGCAAGGATGAAATGTTGACTAATTAAAAACACACCATCCTTCTCTAGTCTCTTCACAATCAAAACTCCATCTCTGTTTTACTAAAAAGGATCATAGTAAAAGATTATCGTAATTGTCAAATTTAGGCGGATGGCATAAGTGTTGGACAAAACACACTTAAAAATGTTAAGATATAATAAAAACTCAATGTTATTTTAACTTGTAATTTCATCACCGTTAATGAATTGACCAAACAGTATTACTAATACGTATAAAGACGTATTAGTAAACCGGAATCAAGCAGTTGGAAGATTCCTAAGCCGCTCCAATGATGAGCAAAATTTAAATACACCTTTGGTCATATTTTGTTACGTTTTATCACCAAATCTTTTGCTCTACGAAAATAATAGTTTGTCAGTGAAAGTACAAATAGCTACCAACAATGCAAAAATACACTACGATTGATTACAGCAATCGACAACAAATCGCTCATTAACAAGCACTCGAACATCCAGGTGAATAAGTGAAGAAAACATTCAGCGGAGGTCCTATACTCTATCTAAATGATTCACTTTTACCCAGTGGCCAAAATATGACTACTCTTCAGGCCCGCGACAAACGTCTTGAAAACATCTGGCTTGGCTATACATTGCAATATGGCGAAAATAAATTGTGTTATTGTTGTTTACAAATCAAGATTCATAAGATATTCTTATATTAAATGGCGACGAAAAACCCGATAATCCTTTTGTTTTATAGCTTGAGGTCACATGAAGTAAATACAGTCAACATTTATGATGGTAATACAAATATTTTCCAGCCTAGTCACCATAAAGATGGCGTAAATAATTTTAAACGAAAGGTGAGGATTATCATAGTGATTTACCAAAAACAAATAAAAATTTCGAGTCAATGAAATAAAACGATTGTCACTTTAAAAATTAGAGTTAAATCATTTTGTTTATTTTAATGTTGAAAACAACGGCTTTAGTATTTCACTAAAGGTTGATAGCATATTTTGTATTGTATTTTTTTTTTGTTGTTTTAGTGGTATTTAGATTATAAAGTAATAGAAAGTAGATTGAGTAAACAAGTAAACCAAGTGTGAACAGAGGTGTGTAAACTACAGAATATAAATAAATGACTCACCTCCCAAGACGTTTTCCCACCGGTTTTTTCCTGAAACAATGATAGACTTGATTATTTTTTTAAAGGGAGTTTACATTAATGGCGTACACATAATATATTATACTAGGGAACCCGTGCGGCTCATTGGGCCGCATAATAAGAACAACAACGTTGAGGAAATTTGAGTAATTGTAGCAAAATTCTATAAGTTACTAAATAAATTTATAGAAATTGATTTTAATATATCTAATTCTTCTACATTTCTGCTCTCAGTTTTCATGAATGCTAAACATTCTCCATCAATTCCAGTGAACATGTCTGTAATATATTGCAACAAAGCATGAGACCTGCAGATAATGTTTTGTTGCCTTACTGATAATAAGTGTAAAGCAAATTGAAGTTGGGCCACTTTATTTTGTTAAGCAGTAGTTCTTTATTTTAATTGAGGCGTCCCTCTAAACCAACTCTTTTCTCTGTTGGAAAATAGTAGACGATAGGCCATTAGATCCAATCCTGAAGAGTGGGGTGCTATCACATTCTTCAGGTGTGATACTAATTTTAGGTATACCACAATCCCTGGGTTACTAAATCTGGGCAATCATCATCTGCTTTGAATATAGCATCAACAACATATAAAGTTGGCCACTTGCAACGCCTTTATATCTAAACTTCTGCCAGAGTATACGCCTAGCATCTGCAAATCCTCACTTTGTTGAAATGGAGTTTCTGTCAAATGTTTTTAAGGCTTGGAAATATGAATTTACAACTCTTGAATGAAATTCGGATAGCAGGTTTCATTTTCTCACATTGAGCTGCATATTTCACGTACTTCTTCTGAATCATAAAAATAAACTCGACTGTGGTGACTGTTTCAGTTCTGTAATGAACTTGACCATTGAATATATACAAAATACCATTCCCTAGTTTTTGAACTAATATTGCCACTAACTCTTACCAAATGAGTTGTTGCAGCTTTTCTTTTGACTACAAAATGGAGGCCATTTAAAATATTTGATGCCAAATTTCCCAAAAAACCGTTACCTTTACGAAAAACTTGCAGCACATAAAAAGTTAGTACATTTTATTTAATTTTCAATGATACTTTATTTCTTAAGAATGGATAAATAATGACAGAGAATCGTGTTCTTATCGTAATGCATGACCACCTTTCTCCATTTAAACAATGGTATACTCCTTTTAAATTGTTTAAATATCTTTACAATCATCTGTACGTCAATCAGGAGTTTTAAAACATAACAGCTGATTGAATAATTTGTTTTTGTTATTTATAAAGTATTGTTGTCTAAACATTACTGCAAGTCTTTACTAGTTGCTTACGATTCTTACAACCTAGATTAAGTCATTATTTATTTTGTATTTTTCACGTTATTAAGATGACTATACTGAAGGTGAGAAAACACATCAGAGAAGTGCTGCGATATGGTTTATTTTTTATGGCTCGTGGCAGTGTAAGGGAAACGGCTAGATTGTATGCAGAACACTATCCGAACAGGCGATATCCTAATGGACCTTCAATGCTGTATAGGCAATGTCCAATGCCCATAGGACATTCGGTATTCAGACATGTTCAGACAACAATACTTTTATTGAATAAACTATGCAGAGGTATGTTGACTAAAGAAAGTAACGATTTTACTCACCTTCCAAATCTCTATCAATTCTGGGTTCTGAAAAAGATTGTCAAACTTATTTGTGGGAAGTGATATTTGTATGTAACTATTAAATATATTATTTAACTATATCACAATTAAATGATTTTACCTACGACCGTTTTTTAACTAACCGTTACAGTTCAGTTCTTAGAATTAAAAATATTCACTTGTTAAAAAAATAGCATTGTTTTTTTTTTCTTAACAACACCGGTAACGGACCATTGAGGCTCAAGGATCAAGAGAAAAGAAGTAAAATTGTAATGCTTCGTGTATCAAATGTAGATCCTGTAACGAGTTATTTTCCTAGGGGGGTATATTTTCGTTATTTGGGCCGCGCGTATGTTGAGGTAAGCAAGCGGCGGCGGCGAACCTGGCTAGCGCCCTTTGACCCGGCTTATCAGTTCGGATAAGCTTGGGTATCCTGGGACTACCGGATAGCCGAGAAGGACATTCGAGTCGTGGATCACGAGCAGTAAGGAAGAGTTAGCGTGTGTCTAGTGAGACGTCCAGTGATTTGGGTGACATCGGAGAGTGGTGATACCGGTGAACAGTGTTGGTGTTAAGTTGGGTGTTAAGACCCACTGCTGGTGAGTGGACGACGTTCTTTTGATTTTGGTTAAAAAGCTGATATTATTAGTTTGAATATATTAATATCTGATTTTATTGCGAGAGTTAGAGTTGTAACCGTGCTGGTCAAAGCCTGACGGTAGTTAGGATTTATATTAGTCAGGAATAATATTAAAGTGTATTCCTGACGGTTCTGGGCAGGTGCTAGAGCGCAAATAATATAATTTATTGACTGTGGTAGATATTATTTTGCGTTGTACCAAGAGTTAGTTACACTACTAGTAACTCTGAGGCCCGACAAACCTAGGCTGCACGATTTAGCGTGCGTAGTTGGAAGCACGTGGCCAGTAGGCTAGTAGCTAATATTATTAGCCTATTAACAGTAGCCCAGCTAACTAACATTAAGTAGGTAGTAGCACAAGCAGTAGCAGTAGTAGGGTTGTTGTTGATTAATCATTTGATTAACTTAATTTAACCTGAACAGCTGGTTTCGTAATCCAACACGTTATCTCGGTAGCTTGGGTAGCGGAGTACCGGCTATCAGATAATATATTTATCTAGTGTTTGGAACATATTTAATATTTATTTATCTGCTACTAAGTAGCTCAATAATTTGATAGTAGTGCAATTGGCATTTAGCTTGGCTTGTTTGGCTTGGTATTTATTGAGACCAGCTACTAGTGGTGTAGTCACTCTACCTATAGTGCACTTGTATTGTTATCTGGTATTATTATTGAGTGAACTGTTTGATTGTTAGCTTGGGCAATAGAGTTGTGTATTGGATTATAGTGGCCTAGTAGACCCCACCTGGTGATAACTCGCGTTGTGGTTTTTGTTGGCAAGTTGTCGTGTAACTCACCGTGTTTTAGGCACTCTGGGCTTAACTATTGGATAGTTAGGACGAAGCCCGAGTTGCGTAGTCAGCAACGACCCCCTAGGAGAGTGGAGAATCGGCGTAGGCCTGGTAGTGATTATTGCACGTTTGTTTTGGTGACTTGTTTTTGACTTGTTCACAGTGCCCGTGTATGAGCCAGTCCTATACCGGTTAGACCCGGCTATTGGCCTAGTGGTTTCCCTGACCTTATCGCAGACCCTGGAACTTTACCCAGCCATTGTAGGCTGAGCTATCCTCGGCAAACGGTTGCGACTGCACTTACTTTTAATATTATTTTTTCCAGTGCAGAAAATTTCGTCGCAATCCAATCAAAATAGAATAGTTATAAATGTTTATTTGAATAAATAGTATATAAGTAATTTATTATAATCAGAGGAAGCTTCAACTTTGTCGTTACAAGTCTGTTCAATATGTTGCAAATTTTTACTGTTGTATTCGCCTCCGTATTAAGTTATGTTCGTATTTCATTGGTACACAAACGTCAGGGCTCATCTGAGTTAGACATTAAGCATTAGGCTAGATAGGGCGAACTATCTCTGGGTTAGTATGCCAGTTTCACTACCTCAAAAGTGACATTGGTTTGTAAGGTTACAATCTCCAAATCCAGACAGTGTTAGGCATAAAACAGTTTTGCCAACAGATGATGAATTATTATGTTTTTATTACTTTGAGTAACAATTTTTGTTTGTTTGTTCAGTTAGCACAAGCACAAATAGGTATAGTATATATATAACTATCTTTTATATTCAAATTCTCAGTATTTTCTATCCCAAGACCCAATAAAATTAGCTTGCATGAAATCCTCCCGAGAAGTGATTTATTGGCATTCAAAAGGGTCATGGTGGGTAAGCCTCTGGATCGTAAATTGCAATATAAAAATGGTTTATTTTACCTTTTTGTGTCAAACGATCCGTGTGTAGTCAGTGCAACTACAGCTGGTTGCGTCATGACTGCTGGCAACATTCACGCGACACACGACAGCAGTCATGACACAACATCCATCGGCGCCTGTCTCGTGTGTTCGTCACTTGGCCGAGTTCGTAAATTCGTGTTATTTAAATGTTTTTTGTGTATTACGTGTATGTAGACATATTTATTTCGAAAAGTTCATCTATGAATGAATGCTGTTTTATCTAACGTTCTACCAACAACCTGAATATTGCCCTAGTGGTATGAAACAGCTGTAGTTGCACTAACTACACACGGATCTTTTGACGCAAAAAGGTAAAATAAACCATTTTTATATTCAAAAGAGTTTTGTTTAGAGTGCTTTATAAAGTAATTACACGATTTTAAACTTAGTTTATCAAACTTATGAGTATCAACAACTTACGGTTTGTGGTGGAAAGTCGACTTTTACCCTCTGTAACTAAGAAAACAAATTGGTGATAAAATCATTTTTAATTATTTTATATCTTGTAAATTACAAAAATTATAATTTAATGGCGGAAAACGTTAGTTAATTTCAACATAGAATATCATACATGTAAAATATGAAACAAGTGTTTTACAAATTATATTAGTTATTGATCTAAAACCTTTCCATTGTCAGATCAAACTCATTTTATCACTTAGGCTATGTTTTTAAATTTATAATTTTGTTGATAGCGTAACGCATTTCCCAGCATTCAAAATGAAAAAGTTTGGAAAAACTACCTTTTACTACTTAGTATTTAATGTTATATAATTTAACAAATGCCAGGAGTGGTGTTTGTTTTCTTACCCAAATGAACATATTGTTAAACAAAAATTAAAAGACAGGACTAATTGATAGTTTAATAGTCTTGGTTTACGAAATAGTTCAATATATCACAATTAAATGATTTTACCTACGACAATTTTTTTTTTTTTTTACTAGCCGTTACAGTTTAGTTCCTTGAATTAAAAGGAGTCACTTAACAGCATTGCTTTTTTTTGGTTTTACTTAACAACATGGGTAACGGACCATTGATATTCAAGACCTGAGAGAAAATAAGCAAAATTGTAATGCTTAAAACTTCAACCAATCAGCTGTTCAGGCCAACTTAATGGTTGTGTGGTGCAATTAGTCTTTAGTACACACTCTCGCATTTACTATAGACTTCACAGCTACTCGTGTTGTTTATTAAAAATCAATTAATACATAGAAATAGTTGAACAAAACTAAATATTATAAAATCGTCTTACCACCGCAGCCGTCTCCAGTACTAGAAACACCTGGAAAAATAACTGTTTTACATTTCAAAATTAAATTAACTTGATCTGTAAAAACTGTGTTTTCCAAATTTGTTATAATGCAATACTTTTTATACAAAATGAATAATGTTTTTAAGCCTGTTACTTGGATTTCGGATCGGATACACCCTTATGTTTTTGGTATATAAACTAAGTTCTGCATCAAAAATGAGTTTTAGGCCAGTTTTATAGCCAGGAAAAAAACTGTTTTCACCACAATACGCAAGCAAACTTTCGAAAATTTACCAAGGGCCTTTTGGGTTGTCAAGCTGCCATGACGATTTTGCAAGAATATACAAAATCCTAACACACCTTTATATGGAGATGAAGTTATGAACAATTCAATCAAAACATTTAAACAACGAGTATATTACACTAACAATTTATAATCAATCAGATATTTTTCCAGCAGTGAAATTAATAAGAAAAAATTATTAATTTAACTCATACTTTTTTTAATAAGCAGTAGATTTAGGGTTTTTATTTTGGCTCTGCCATTATTATTTCATGTAAAATAAGGTATAAACAAAATTGTGTAATATTAAATATACTGCATTTTAATTATATTGGTATTTTACCGATCGTATTTCCCTTGGCCTACATAGACCTCTGTAGTTTGAGACGTTTTAATTTTCTTGGACCATAAACCTATACATTCCAATGAGTTAACTTGCGTTAGCTGAAACTCCATTTCAGGCCTGCAATAGCTATATTTTCTGTTTTATAACAGAACATCTTGAAATTGGCTGATTAATGTTGCTTTGAGTATTTTCAGGGTTATTTTTATATACCTTCCTAAAAATATTCAGTGATAATTCAATTTAACATCTACAACAAACATCATGTTCCTTTGTAATACGATGTAAACTACAATAGACAGTAAAGCAATGTACTGTTTAATACATTACACCATACACAAACTAGTGAGCAAACAGTAACGTTATGGCATTTTCTGTATTATATAAACAAATATCACCCATCTTATGACACAACCACCTTTCACTTAAAGCGTTTTAAATGAAAAATATTTATTCAACCGATTTCCAGTTAGTCCAGATTCGTATGATTTTTTAGCTTGAATGACTAGATTAATATCCTTAAGTACGACTTTTATTAGTTCATAAAATAGCTCACGGAATTTTAAATCCTATACGACCTTCAACAATATTTGATCAAATTAAAGCACGAGGATATCCCACTTACCAGAACGGACATCCAAAGAATATGGTGGAAGGGCTCCATGTTGAAAACAGTAAACTGTACTGACTTGCATGCTAATTTATACCTGTTAGAATTGACAGGTTTCAATATATCAAATGTGTAAATGACGTAAATGTAATAATTGATGAGTTCATCTGCTGTGGAGCACGTAAACAAGTAGGCAAGTGTGATATGGAAAACTTTTGTTGTTTAAGGAAATTTTTTTGTGTTTTTGGGTGATATTTTGGTGGCAAGCAAAATAAACCTAAATTATAAAAAAAATTATTTTGTTGGAATAAAAAACAGCAAAATCCACAGCAGCTTAAAAAAAAATGTATATTAAGTTGCTAAAATGTGTAATCTGAAAATGATTAAAGAACAATCACTGAGATTATATGAAAAATGAACATGGGGTGGAATTCGATATTTCAGGGGGGAGGTTTACCATTGTAAAAGGTCGCTTTTCGAAAAGGGTGCAAGACCTACAATCGTGCCAAATTTCAGAACAAAAAATGGGAAAACGTGATATAGGCCGATGCACTTGTGGTAACTTAAGGATTGTTATAAGGGGCAAATATAATTAGGAGAAGGGAATTTTGATATGGTCCGTTAGCAGAAATACAGTAAACTGTGTTTAGTTTCAATACTGTTGCGCCGATAGGATAGGTAAAGAGTCTGTTATAACTTTGTAAAAGAAGAAAATTATTTTAAATGTGACATAAAATTTAGGCCTAAATTTTAGGGGCAAGGAGTAAAGTTACGATAAAACATGTAGTTATCAAAATTTAAATTAAACTAAGGAGAGTACAAAGCATTATTAATATTTGAAAAAAAAAATACTAAATTGAAAAAAAATCAAAAACCATTTAAAATTTGATAGAAATGTACAAGTTTTTGAAAGTAGGGCGATTTTTTGGGGTGAACTAGTGCGGCCTTGGGTGAAGGGATATGATTTTCGGTAAACGCCAAAGAGGATTTTGTAGAAAATTTAATTCCTGACCATGAAAGATTTTTCTAATCTTTGCTATCTTTTAGCGTTTTTGAGTTATACCCGTTTAAAAAATCGTGTTTTGTCGTGTTCAGATGTCCACCATTTTGGATTTTTGGAGGGGTGAAAATTGGTGAAATTTAGCACTTTTGAAAATTAGATAACTTAGGGTGATATTCCTCACCCTATTTAAACTTCAAGTCTCTAGCACGTGTCTAAACGATTCAGATGATCATTCCAATGTCTTTAAATTTCTATGTTATTCTCCATAAGAATAACATGGGGTTCGTAAAAGTGGTAAAACCTTTCAAGTTTTGACATTAAACTAAGTTTTGGGGGTCAAGGAGTAAAAGTACGTAAAACATATATGAGAACATATATAAGTAAAATTTAAATTAAACTAAAGAGAATGCTAAGCATTAATAACATTCCCCGTGTGGTACCGGGTCAGAATAGGACCACAGCCTTCTCGGGCTTGTCAGGCGACTAAAAGGGTGACCCCCGGCACGTCAGTTATCCTGTGCTGGGCTTACGGAGGTCGGGCCCTGGGGAATTTGGGTAGGGATTTTTGTCCCCGAGTGTATACCCGTTCTTGACTGATTCCGGGCCGCTCCTTGCCGCACGATGCACTGGAATAAACACGATGGCTTTTAATGAAACCCCCAAAACACATTTTTGATTAAGAGCTCAAATGAGAAAGAAAAGACGTTGGAAGTGGAGCAGAACTCTTTTGTTCGTAGCTCCACGGTTCAGAGCTCACTATTACCAAAAAACGTGAGGACATCTCCGCCTCCTAGACCTTTCAAATGCACTAAGGAGTTCCCCCATTTAGGATCTCCTTCGGCAAGTGGAGCTGGGAAAGATGCAGATAAAGTTGGGGATGCACACGTCGAACTGATGGCGTTGCAAGCAACATTCCTGCCAATCAGTTCTGCTGTAGGGATGCCGGGGAACCGTTCACAGTAACGTTGCGGTCGAAAGACTCTGAGATGGTCCTTCTAAGTCAGGAATAACGCTCTTAGTCAGTGAACAGTACCAGTACCATGATAGGGACCCATCTTTTTGGTTCCCTGATAGTCTTGGTACTGCTGCATTCTGGGCGTGTAATGCAGCTTAAGTAAGTTGGATCCTTACAGAGTGGCTAGGAGGTTTCTTCGTAGAGCCATCAAGCTGAGTAAATGCAGTTGAGGTCGATTCCAACCCTTGTGGCCAGGGCTATTAACTTGTAACCAAGAAACTTGGCAACCACTCACTACCTTCCGTCATGAACGCTATGGAGAGGATAGTTTTATTTTTATTTTTTATTTTATTTTTATTTATTTTTATTAATTTATTATTATTTTTATTTTGTTTTATTTTTTATTTTATTTTTTATAGTTATTTGTTTTATCATGAATATTGTATTGACGCTATTTATGTATATTGTGTACTAAATTAATAAAAGAAAATTTGATTTGATTTGATTAGTCAAGTCTCTTTTCCCGGCTCGCACGTTACGCCCACTGCGGGATTTTGAAAGGGTGGATGACGTCCCACTTTTCAGTCTTGAAGAAATGAATCCGGCCGTCCTAACCCTGAAGAACAATAAGGTCCCTGGACCTGATGGGATACCCGGCGAAGTCCTCAAGAAGGTTTTGACTACTAACCCCTTGATCCTTTTGAGTCCCAGAGGGGAGGTAATTGCCCGGTGTTAGACCCGGCACTTCAGGTAGGCCACAGTTATGGCCCCGTTTATGCACCAAGTGCGGTAGCGGTAGCGACAGCGGGAGCGTTTTCTAACACCATTGAGTTAAATGGGGCTGTTTATGCACCAAGAGCGATAGCGATAGCGGTTGACCTCCCGCTGCGATTTCTAATTCGCCCGCTGTGTAGTTAGGAATCGCAGCGGTTGCTTGGGCTGAAGCCAGGGTTGCCAACTTGACCCACGCGCACGTGCACTTAGGACAAATAGTTGTGTTAATTATTTCGCAGAGTTTGAGTTGGCAAGACTGTGTCCCCCTTCCATTCTCCTTTAACCAACCGCTACCGCTATCGCTCTTCGTGCATAAACAGACTCATTTACAGCGGGAGCGGGCCCGCTATCGCACCGCTCCCGCACTTGGTGCATAAACGGGGCCTATGGACGACTGGTAAGCGCCAGCCCCTTAGGGGGAGCCTCCAGTGACACTCCCTCCATTCAGGGTGGGGGGGGGGTGTTTAGCTCTCAGTGACGCCGTTAACTCCGCCTCTCCTCACCTACCTGTAACTGTGGTTGTGACTTGAGTTCTTCGGGCTCGTCCTACCTGTTGTGTTCGACTGACATTTTGTGAGGCATATCCTCGACTTTGGAAGTAGCCTCGTCCTGGGAGGTGAAAAACCTAGCCCCCAAAGGGGAGGTAACTGCTCGGTGTTGGTATCGGCATTTTAAAGTAGGCCACAGACATGGACGACTGGGCATTGGGTCCCAGTGACATTCCTTCATCCAGGATGGAGGGGTGTTTAGCTCTAGGAGAGATGGAAGTGCATCATATTCTCTAACCTACCTGTGTCTGTGGTTCTTTGGGTTTCGGCCTGCTTGTTGTGTGCGACCAGCATTCAGTGTGGCAAATCCTCGACTTTGGAAGTAGCCTTTCCTGGAGGTGAAAACGGGCAAGTACCCGTAGCTCACGGGGACACTCAAGGGAAACGTAACTTTCCGCAGTGTGAGGGTAACGGTTTGTAGGCACTTATGCAAACCAATCCCTGTCTCTGAGCACGGACGGTATGGTTATCTTGAGTGTGGGGGGTTCTTCCCGGAACCTCAATTGAGTCAAGGGTGTCTCCACCTCTGGTGGATAGGTTCATCCGGGTGGGTCCCACTTCTATACCTGCCTCCTTTTGGGAAACCCTGATGGCCTGGCAGTGATGTTGGGTCTGACGGGCAAACGAAGTAGATCGGGTGCTGGGTCCGAGCCCGCCAGGGGTATCTGGGGATCTATCGCTCTGGTTATCTCTGGTTTCCCAGCAACTGGGTAAGGCCTCGATCGGGTAGTGGTGTAAATGGGAGGTTGGGGTTCCCCCGTCAGCGTGCTGACGGTCCCCTTCCTTCTGGCTATGATGGCGGGTTCTGCCTGTCAGGGATTAGATAGGTCCCGAGTGTTGCTTGCACTAAATGCGTCGGGGCGCTCCATTATGGTCCTCTAGGGCTTTGTACCTGGTGGAACCCAGGTGGAGTGACGCTTAAACAAGCAGCCGGAATCCCTGGTTAGGATTGAGGGGCAACCCTCTTTCCGAAGGGTCTGCTTCGGCAGCCGGCGAGCCTGATGACCTTAAGTCATCCGCCCATGATGTGCTAAAGGTTGATGCGTAAGCTTCGGCCTACATCATGGGGCCCGGGTATGTCTCACGATAGGTACCGGGTATGTAGTCAGGGGGCTTCGGCTCTCATGACAAAGAAATAATAATAAATAATATAATAATAATTGATCCTTTTGAGCATGTAGAACGCTAGGCGAAAGGAGTTTTCCCCTCGTGCTGGAAAACAGCTAGGTTTGTGCTTGTTTGGAAGGGGAAGGGAGACCCAGATCTGCCATCCTCTTACAGACCTCTGTGTATGTTGGATACGGCTGGCAAAGTCCTCGAAAGATTGATCCGTTCCCAGCTGAATGTAGCCGTGGTCGCTGTGGAGGACCTGTCCCCTCGTCAGTATGGATTCAGGATGGAACTATCTACGGTTGACGCTATTGAGAAGGTGAAGCAAGCCTTGATGAGATTTTAGGATTTTAACCACTACTCTCGTATAGTTGTGCTGCTCGTAACACTCGATGTGTGAAATGCATTTAATTCCGCGAGGTGGTGCGATATGCTGGATTCTCTAGAGAACACCTTCCACGTTCCGGCATACCTCATGCGCATCATAGAGGATTATCTCCGGTTCCACCTCCTCATGTATGACACTAAAGGCCCACGGACGATGAGTGTCACTTCCGGTGCTATCCAATGTTCCATACTCGGCCCAGACCTCTGGAATGTCACTAATGACAGCCTGCTGAGGTCTGAAATGCCTGAGAAAACGGCTTTGGTTGGGTACGCAGCCGACTTTGCAGCTTTGATAGCTGCACGTGGCGTTGAGCTGGCTCAGCTAAAGCTGAACCGAGTTATGCGTACCATAAACATATGGATGGCAGACCACGATCTCTTGCTCGCTTTGTGGAGATCATGATATTGACAAAAACGGATTGACACAATCGTTCCGTTAAGGGTGGGGGCCGTCGTACTGCCAAGTACTTTGGGGTTATGGTGGACAGCAAGCTTAGCTAGCAGGATCAGATCTTCCTTACGGTGGACGGCCGCTGGGGTGGTTTCTTCTGTTAGCCGGTTGATGACCAATGTCGAAGGGCCTCTTATTTAGATGTAATACTATTTTATAAAAAAAATATATTAATTTGACTCTGAACTGCTAAAAATGCATAGCTAGTAATATTTATCAAAGTCTATAGAAAATAAGAAGAAAATTTACATTTAACTGTAGGCAATTACAACCCAAATATTTTACATAATTTCCATACTTGCAATCTTTTGATTATTCATACTGTATTTTTAATAAGTAGCCTTCAATACATTTGACGGGCTACCATTTTTGATAGAGAAGAAATAGCTAATTCTGGTCTTCACAGTTCTCTCAGTTTTTGTAAATGATTCTTCAATATGAGGCGTCTCTTGATGGTTGTTTATATTTAAAAAAATTAGTGTGCCCCCATTTTTGGGGACACTCTAAATTTTTAAAATCATAAAATTTGACTTCCTGCTAAGACTGAATGTCCACTAAAATGATATCTCTGTATACCACTTAGAAAATAATTAGGGTCTTGACTTTTGATACCCTGTATGTATTGGTCTCAAAATACTCCTAGAAATACCGATTTTAATTTGAGATATTGATCTTGTATATTAATGTATTGTATATGTGTATGTACTGTATATTGATACTGTATTACTTTATCAAAAAAACATTCAATTATTTCTCGGATATTAAATTGTATTTTAGATATATTTACTCAACTCTAATTACGTTATCCTAAATGCTTTGATCCAAGAACCTTCGTTAAAAAACCAGCTGTCATTTTAGTTATTTATTATTACGATTGGACGCACCTAAAGCATGCTGCTGAATCACGAACAACCTAAGTTGTAAAAAAATGAGTTATTTATCATCGATTGATAGTTAAATGAGTTTGCTTGAAACCTCAACAGTAACCGTCAATTATGACGGGTTTCACCTAGTATTATTGTAAAAGGTATTAAATCTACATTTCAAAGGAAATATTTTAGAAAAATTCGAACAGATAAATGGAAATTCACTTAATCTGCAGGTATTATTGTAAAAGGTATTAAATCTACCTTTCAAAGGAAATATTTTAAAAAAATTCGAACAGATAAATGGAAATTCACTTAATCTGCAGGTTTGCTGTGACGCTGGTATTTGTTTCATAAAGGCTAGTTAGTAATTTCATATAATATACTTTTTATTTTACAAACATTAATATACACGCAGCATATCCTTCGATATATAGGCCTAAAAGAAGCTGGTTTATGTTAATACCTTTGATATATCCCTATAAACTTCAGTTTAGTCGGTTCACAAACAGAAACAACGTTACTTTATTAACCAACTTCAAAGTTTATTGAATTTTTTTTTACCAAAATAGTAACTAAACCTAAAATTCATTTTTTTAGCTATGTTTGAAATTAGTCCATAAAGGATAATTAAAAGTGCAATAAAGAACAATAAGTTATGAACCATTATGCTTAAGCACATCTATGTCCTTTTATCCAAATGGCTTCATTGTAAAACTGTTAAGTGTTTTGAAACTATAGACATGGAACGGTAAAATGCACAAATAATGTAGCCTTATATAATTCTTTATTTGATTACTTTTATATTTCAGTAGTTCGACTCGTTAAGCATTTGGGCCATCTTCCTCAGGTGTATCTGTGCCATCTTCCTCAGGTGTATCTGTGCCATCTTCCTCAGGTGTATCTGTGCCATCTTCCTCAGGTGTATTTGTGCCATCTTCCTCAGGTGTATCTGTGCCATCTTCAGTAATGACTTGCAAGAGTTTCTTCTTTTGGCATGAAACAATGTATTCGGCAACCTGCTCATATGGTGCAATAACTCGGATTACCTGGAAAGTAACAGATAAATAAGTATTAATTGTGATACCACTGCCACCAGTACACTATCGTCGAATATTCGCCCGAATGTCTTGTCGTATGTTCGGGTTAGATTGGGACCGCAAATGTTGACGAATGTGCATCCCGAACCACTCCGAACCAACCAAGTACACTATCGGCCGAACTGTGCCGAACCCAATATTGCGTATTCACGGCAAAACATTCGCGCCAAACTTTGTGAAACTTTTCTCTGTATTTCTTTTATACAGGGCGACTAAAAAGTGATGACACCTAATATTTTTCTAAGAAAATATAAAGAGATAACTTTTTGGTAGTCGTAAAATCTTAGCAGTAGGTTTCATTTTATGATTTTCAATATTTTAAATTGTAAACCCCCTTCTAATGACCCCCTTATTTTGAAGTGTTTATATAAACCTTAAGAATTGTGAAACCGAGAGTTCGCTATCAATTCTCCATCTAAAATGGTAGCCCATCAAATGTATTGAAGTATACATATTAAAAAATAAGAAAAATTAATGTTGTTATAACATTGGCTAAACTTTCAAAATCATAAAATAAAACTTTCTGCTAAGATGCATGGCCACCAATAGGATATCTATGTATATCTACTGTACTTAGTAAAATATTAGATGAGGGGTCTTGCCTTTTTATTAACCCAGTATAGCTATGAGGCTATGCTTACTACAAGTATGTATACACACACTAAGAAAAAATTACCAAGCCCTGAATTCGTAGAGGGTTATAATGAACTAAACCGCTTGATTTTTTCTGCATCATATTGTGTGAAATAAAATGTACATACGCAACCGGTATTTCATATGTTTGGCCAGGATTCTAAAAGACACATTATCTCTAAACAATGGGTGTCCGAAAAAGAACTGAAACATTTTAAAGGCAAATACTGATACCAAATACGAGACTATGATTAATGTTTTATATATGTATTTAAAGCTTAAATTCTTAAGTTTTATAAAAAAACTTAGTATAACTCGATATGAGCACTATTTGTGGCCCGGCATAGATTTAAGTGTAATTTGACCTCTTTCCAAGTTTTGGCCAGTAGTTCAGGGGATATAAACGGTACCATTTAATATGACATGTTAGAGGAGTATTGTTTCCCATAGTTTCCGATATTGAGATGGGGAACGGCCCTGAGTATTTTCTACAGGATGGAGCGCCACCACACTACAGTTTACGTGTGCGAGAAGCGCTAGATAATCGTTTCGACTATTAGTGGATTGGCAGGGATGAGCCCATCCAATGGCCTCATAGGAGTCCTGATATGACTTCTCTGGACTTTTTCCTTTGGGGGTGGTACAGAATGATGTTTACTCGGTGCAGATTCGGGATCTGAATCACCTCCGACAGAGAATAGTCGCATGCGTTGGTGCAACATCCCCTGAAGTACTGACCAATACCTGGGAAGAGGTAAAATTTCACTTAAATTTATGCCGGGCCACAAATGGTGCTCATATCGAGTTATACTAAGTTTCTAATAAAACTTTATAGTTTAAGCTTTAAATACATATATAAAACATTAAACATAGTCTCGAGTATGCATGGACACCCGGTATATATGAACCTGAAAAAATGAGTATTTGAACTAGAAAACAATCAAGAAGGCGAATCAAGTGAATTTCAACTAGTATCCAATAGAAAAGCTAAATCATCATCTTCCAACTTCCAACCTTCTACCAAACGATACAAAACAGTAATACAAAACAGGTTTAGTCCTTTAGCATCCACTACCGACAATGACGAAACTGCCGAATCTCCTAACTCTTCTGATAAATCTCGCATTCCACCCATTTTTCTTCATGACTCGAACAATTATCAAGCTTTGATCGCAGATATGGACAAAGTCTTAACGTAAAATTATTTTACCGTGAACAAAGGTAGTACCATCAAAATAAATGTGTCTTCCTCAGATGACTTCCGTGCACTAACAGCACATTTTGATAATTTAAAAGTACAATATCACTCTTTTTGTCCTCCTGAAAACAAACGTCTCTCTGTCATAATGCGAAACGTCCCAATCTCCCTTTCCGACGAAGAAATTCACACAGAACTTAAACGAATGAATCTGCCAGCTCTAAAATTTACTAGACTATACAACTATTGAACTAAAGCGAAAGTCTAAATCCATCCCTCAGTGTATTCGCTGTCAACGCTATGGAAAACTGGATCCCCGTTGTGTTAAATGTACAGGAAACCATTTATTTTCAGATTGTCCTAAAAAGAGAGAAGATCCAGTCCAGTGTGTTAACTGTAATGAGTCGCATACAGCTAATTATCGTGGTTGGCCTTACTACCTCAGCCTTAAGACACGAGCAATCAGCAAAAGAAATCAACTAACAACCAATCAAACGGAAATCAGCCATAAAAAAGTTCAATACAACTCAAGTAGTACTCAATTTCTTGCTTTGTCAACCAAAGACCGCAATCCTCCAGCAGGTTCTCAAAGCGAAAACTTTGCTACCCCACACAAAACTTATGCCAATGTTACAAACGGATCGAAACATAAACGTACTGAAACACAAACTCCCCATCCTGAACCTGAAAACTCAAAACACAACTCTTCACCCTATTTTAAAACCACTATTATCTCTAGTTAAACCTTACCTCCCTCAAATTAAATCGTTCATCTCTCAGTTAGTATCATCTATTTTCCAGAATAAATTATAATTTACACCCAGTGAATAACTTAAAAATACTTAATTGGAATGCGAATGGTTGAAAGGAAAAGCGTTCTTCGTTTATTGTTTTTCTAGCTCAAAATAAAATTTACATTGCTTGTATCACAGAAACCCATCTGATATCAACGGAAAAATTTACAATTCCAGGTTATCTCGTTTACAGATCAGACAGGGATGCGCCTAGAGCGTCTGGCGGAGTTGCCATTGCGGTTAAAGAAACATTGCTCATCACTCATTGTATCTACCTCACATGAATAACCTAGAAATTACAGCCATAAAAATAAGAATGAACAACGATGATATTATTTTATATTCTGCTTATCATGCTCCATGGTACAAGTTTTCAAAAACGTACATTGAAAACCTCTTTTCTGATAATACTCCTACTATTTTACTAGGCGATCTAAACTGTAAGCATGAAGCTTGGGGATGCCTGAAGACATCTCTTAGCCGCTGCTACTGCCTACGGAGTATCAACTGTTGCCCCAAATGAACCTACTCATTACTCATTCAACCACAATGTCAGGCCAGACATTTTAGACATTGGATTGTTTAGAAATATGCCTCGCCCAACACACATGACACCACTAATTGAACTTTATTCCGATCATCTACCAGTCATTCTTTCATTTGACGAACCACCTCAAATAGAACTTCCAAACAAAAAACTTATTAAAGGAGTAATCGACTGGGAAAAGTTTAAAGAATGCTTTCATGAAAATTTTCTCCTTCCTCGCCAACTAAAAGATAAAACCCAAATTGATGAGGCTATCGATTTGTTTGTCACTTCCATTCGTCTCTCAGTAGAACAACCAACGGTTCGTCAGTTTAAACCTAACAAATCGTTTTCATCGATTCCTCGATACATCCTGTCCCTTATTAATTTGAAGAATAGACTTAGAAGATTATGGCAACGCTACAGAACTCCTTCTTTTCTCAGAAGATATAATCAGCTCATTAGACGAGTCAAATGGGAATTAGACCGATTCAGATACGAATCTTATAATAAATATGTATCAAATCTGTCCTCTGTTGACAACAACTCTTTATGGCTCGCAACTAAACGAATATTGAAAGAACGCACCCCAATACCCATTTTAATAAACAACGGTCAGGTATATGAAAGCAAAACGGACAAAGCTAATGTTTTAGCCGATTACTATCAGCGTTCATTTCGTCCGAATGATGAATTTCAAGACCCTGAATTTTCAGCTCATGTTGCCACAGTTAATTCCTGCCCACTTATCACGGTGGAGCGGCCAATTAAATATACTTCTCCATCTGAAATCTCTAACTTCATCAAGTTGCTAAAAATCAAGAAAACTCCTGGACACGACGGAATACCTAACATTATTTTACATAATCTACCATGAAAAGGACTTGTTTTCCTTGCTTCTGTGACAGGTAGCCGAATAAAACAACAAAAATGCGCTACGAATAAATAATTTATTGAACTCAACTTATAGCAAAACAATAATAATGTATTTAGCTTCCGACTTGCTGTATGGAATCTGTTTATGTTTAGTTTACAAATACAACACAAATAAGTTGTTGGGGAACATAGCCTCCCGAGGAGTCTATGGGGAAAGGCGACGCAACTTACATGACCGATTGAATTGAATTTAGAATTTGGACTAACTCAACTGAGTGCGCTCTGCCCATAGCCCAGAGTTGGGCGTGGAGGGGAACCAGCCAATCACGTTGCGGCTTTGCCGCATGACGTCAGTGCAAGCCCCGGACAGTGCTGCTGCCTAACGATTTATCAGGGCATTAGGCAAACAATAGCTGCGCATTAACTGATTTCATCGAGCGACTTGCTTAGCTGTATCAGCAAATTCCAGCCATGCGCGTTACACTTCCCGAGAACGTTGGCCCGACCCAACGCTGAGCCATGCTGACGGAATATTCCATGGTGAGGCAACTGGTTGACGCAAAAAGCTGGGAGGTCAACAGTCCAATATTAGATACCCTCTTTTTATATTCGAAATAAAGCAAAGCTTCTGTGACGGTAAAGACAGGGTTTCCTGAGGGTGTAACAAAAACCTCCCCAACTGATATGTAATGGGTCTGGGAATTTTTGAGGCCGTCACACTTCTCTGTTCAACGCCTGTCTCACAAAATCATACTTCCCACGAATGTGGAAACTTTTTTTTCATAATTGTCATCCATAAGCCTGGAAAACCTGCATCGCAAGTAAATAGTTATCGCCCGATTACCCTCCTCCCCACATTGTCCAAATTGTTTGAAAAAACCATTAAACAACGCCTAGACTCCTACGTAGATAGTGCTTCCCT